GCAGAATTAATCCGGATGCTTCTGTCACATCATCAATAAACACCAATGACCCAGTGCCACTGGAAGCCATGCATGCCCATGCCATCACACTGCCTCCACCATGTTTTACATATGACGTTGTGTACTTTGGATCATGAGCTGTTCCAAGCCTTTTCCACACTTTTTTCTTCCCGTCATTCTGCTGCAGATTAATTTTAGTTTCATCTGTCCACAGAATGCTTTTTCAGAACTGGTCTTGCTTTTTTAGATGTTTTTTGGCAAAGTCTAATCTGGCTTTTCTATTCTTCAGGCTTATGAATGGTTTGCACCTTGTGGTGAACCCTTTGTATTTGCTCTTATGAAGTCTTCTCTTGATTGTAGACTTAGACAATGATACGCCCACCTCCTGGAGAGTGTCCTTCACTTGTCTGGATGTTGTGAATGGGTTTTTCTTTACCATAGAGAGGATCCTGTGATCATCCACCACTGTTGTCTTCTGTGGATGTCCATGTCTTTTTATGTTGCTGAGCTCACCGAGTGCTATCTTCTTTCCTCAGAATGTACCAAACTGTTGATTTGGCCACTCCTAATGTTGCTGCTATCTCTTCATTTTTGAAGCCTTACAATGGCCTGTTTCACTTGCATGGACAGCTCCTTTGAACGCATGATGTAGGTTCACAGCAATAGATTCCAAATGCAAATAGCACACTTAGAATGAACTCCAAACCTTTTACCTGTTAAACTGATTTAGAAATAATGAAGGAGTACCCCACACCTGGCCATGAAACAGCTTTTGATTCAACTGTCCAATTATATTTGGTCTCTTGAAAAAAGGGGGATCGCTACTCTTAAGAGCTGTAATGCCTAAACCCTTCTTCCAATTTGGATGTAAGTACCCTCAAATTAAACCTGTGAGTGTGCACGTTCAGCCCATATACATTATATAACTATAGCTTGAATATGGTTTGGTAAATACCTGAAAAATCTAAGATTGTGCCTGTGTGCAAATATATATATATGGACCTAACTGTATATATCATATCATTTTATTGCAGGTTTAAAAAAAAAATCTGCTCTGCAGCCTGTAAGGCAGCAGATTGTGGGTGCAATGCCAGGCTCTTGTCAGCTGTCTGCCAGTACCTTATACAGGCAGACAGTTACTGAATTGCAGGAAGAATCAATGAACTATGAGAGCACAGGATTGGGGGGAGAGGAGGCAGAAGCTGGAACATGTAACATGTCCAAAGGAGAACGTATCCTTTAAAATTTCATTTTTGCCAGAGTTGGGCTTTAAATATCAGCATATCCTGATAGTTTAGGTGACTGCAGTGTGAATGCGGCATTGATATATGACAGTAATAAGTTAGCTATAAAACACTCACTTCCCTTTTCCAGTACAGAAATCCCCATCTGGAATAAAGCATACAGCAGATTTATCATTTAAATACACAGTAATTAAAGTCTAACTAAAGGCAAAACATTTTCCTTTTGTTTTGGATAGAGTGGAGAGGGATTAGAACACCTGTTAGGTTTTTATTGCTCTCTGTGCCCCTATTAGGGAGACTCACCCCTCTATTTGTCCTGTTTGCCATTATCATTGAAAGTGAAAGCAAAAGAAACCCAAAATTTTGGATTGTCCCCAGAAAAGTAATAGAGGGGAAGTTTTTCAGTGGGGTCCCCAAAGAATTACCTTAAATTTGCAAGATATTCTCACCTCCTGTTTTGGCTATGGGACAGGAAGTGAAGGTAAATTTCCCCAAAGGGACGCAGATGGCAAAAAATAAATTGACAGGGATTTTAACCCTCCCGTACTCTATCCAACATGAAAAAGAAGTTTTGCCTACAGTTCTACTTTAAAGTGGTTGAAAACCTCAGACATGAAATATGAGCAGTGCATATCCCTCTATAGGTTTGTAATTTTCTCATTTAAGAGTACCAAGTGTCATTTCAGTCTGCTGCCTTGTTCCTCTGCTATCAGCATGAATCAATTCTGGCAAGTTTTCTTGACACCAAGAGAAAATTGGTGACAGGTGAGGGAGCTCCAGCAGTTTGACAGCCTCAGCTCAGATTCCGTGAACTGTGTGAAAGGGGGTGTGTCCCTTCCCTCCAATGAGCTCTCAGAGCTCTTCTAACTGATCTCTGCAGTGTGTAATTTCAGCTCTCTGCCCACTTTTTTTCTGAAGTCTCAGACAAGCTTTATAATATCTGGACTTTGAAGGGCTGTAGAGACGAGAAGACTGCAGATAAACATGTACAACTTATCTACGAGGATTTGTTTCATCTGGTGTGTATCACCTGAGGCTAGTCACTTCACTGGGTATATGTAAAGGTTTACAACCACTTCAAGGAACCCAATTTCTTTATAAATTATAATATAAAGCAATGTATGCTTTAAATAGCTTTTATTAGGAAATGCAAATACTCATTTTTTTTTTACATTGTACAAATGCCCTCATTGAAACATCTTTTGCCCTAACAAATTGCATATTGAAAGCTTTTCAGAAAATATCCGCAATAACTTATTTTTTAGAAAGCTTTCCATTTAACAATCTGACAAAGTGCACTGTTAGTGGTGATTAATTAAGGTCAATTAACCTCAAGGCAGCAATAATGTTCACTACGTGTAATGTGCAGTGTAAAGAGACTTGTATGAAGAGTGTAAGAGACTTGTTGAATGCTCTAGTGCAGAAAGCAGGAGTGACCTTAATTAATCAACCACAGAGAACATAGCCTAACAAACACTGCTGTGTTCATAAAACTCAACTAGGAATACATTTGCAGTGTTGTGACATTAGAAATGGCAATGCATCCCCTGTACCAGCATGGAGATTCTGCTTCTGTCATCTTTATGTGACTTAAAAAAAAAAAAAAGAAAAAAAAAGAAAAAAAAAAAAAAAAGGAGGCTGGATTTTAGAATCTAATTGGCAAATGGAAGCTTTTTCTACATGCCACAGAGTATAATAATTGGCATCAAGTAAAATGCTTCCTTCAAAAATGAACTGTGTCATAACACATGGTCTGCGGTTCTCTTGTATTCTGCAATACAGCAGGCAGCTAAGCAGAGAGGTTATAGGAGAGACGGTAGTAGCTGGTATATACCAAGTAGTGATATACTGTAGGATAGGTTAACCTGCATTCTTTCAGCTAGTAATAAACATTGCAGCATTAAGGGCCTATCAACTGATGCAGTGGTTATGTACAGTATAAGCCAAAACAATGCAAGAATCAAAGAAATTAAAAGTGATACATGTCACTGCAGATGAGAGAAACAGAAAGAAACAATGTTAACATGTATGTCAAATTACCTGGTAAAACATTCTTTAAAGATTCAAAACAACCAAAAACACTAAATTGACATTACTAAGGCTTAATAATGAGGAGATCTCAAAACAACTGCTTTAACATTAAACAATACAGTAGATGAATGCTGATTATGTATCTATTTATTGCACTATAAAAGCCCTCGGCATGCTCCTTATGCAAGGTAATGGTACGTCTTGGAGTCTTGCTTGTCCCTTTCCATGTAGTCTCTGTCTATTAGGGACTCAATCCTTTTCTTTAAGTCTCCAGGCTGGAAGAAAACCATTCAGAATTAAATGAGGATGATCAGAGCATATGCTTTCATTTACATCAGCATTGTAATAACAAAACAAACAATTCTTTTTTGACAATCCAATATAAGCTTACTTAAAAAAAATATTTCATGTTATGAGTGCTACCTGTCTGCTGGCCATCTCTTTCCACAATTTCCTGGCCTTCCTGCATGCTTTGCAGCTTCTCCTCCGCTGTTAACTTTCACATTTTAAGGACTACACATCCCATGCTACCATGCTTCCTACAATCTGTGATTCCTGTTCTGACCCACCTCCTAAAACTCTTCCTCTCAGCACCTCTGTAGTTCAGAAGTCAGGCTCTGTAATTTCTGTGACACAGCAGCAGCAGGGGCGGACTGACCATTTGGAAACTCGGGCATTGCCCGAGGGCCCGGGGTCAGTAGGGGGGCCCCATGAGATGCCCCTGGTACCTTTTTCATAGACTTTTTTGAGTTTGGGCAAGGACATGATCCCCTATTGCCCGGGGGCCCCATGAGTTGTCAGTCTGCCCCTGCACAGCAAACACGCTACCTTTGAGACCTGTGTTTCAGGTGTCATTAACCTATTATTGACACGTGCTGCAGATCACAACTGCAGTGCGTTCTGAATGCAGTGTGGGAAACATGCACGGAACATGGGTTTCTGGCACTTCAATCTGGTGTGAACCAGCCCTAAATGTGTGGGGATTTTAAAAAAAATGTACAAACTTGAAGATCATTCAGATTAATAGGAGTAGGCTAGAAAGAACTGAAATACAATGTGGAAATAAAGATTTGGTTTCACATTTTGACCATACACTATATTGCCAAAAGTATTAGAACACTTCACTTTACACGCACATGAACTGTAATGGCATCCCAGTCTTAGTCTGTAGTGTTCAGTATTGAGTTGGCCCACCCTTTGCAGCTATAACAGCTTCAACTTTTCTAGGTTTAGGAGTGTGTCTATGGGAATGTTTGACCATTCTTCCAGAAGTGCATTTGTGACATCAGGCACTGATGTTGGACGAAAAGGCCTGGCTCGCAGTCTCCGCTTTAATTCATCACAAAGATGTTCTATTGGGTTGAGGTCAGGACTCTGTGCAGTCCCAGTCAAGTTCCTCAACCCCAAACCATAGGATCGCCCATCCATGTCTTTATGGACCTTGCTATGTGCACTTGTGTGCAGTTATGTTGGAACAGGAAGGGGCCATCCCCAAACTGTTCCCACAAAGTTGGAAGCATGAAATTGTCCAAAATGTTTTAGTATGCCGATGCCTTAAGAGTTCCCTTCACTGCAACTAGGGGACCAAGCCCAACCCCTGAAAAACAACCCCACATCATAATCCCCCTCCACCAAACTTTACACTTGGCACAATGCGGTCAGGCAAGTACCATTCCCCTGGCAACTGCTAAAACCAAACACATCCATCGGATTGCCAGACAGAGAAGTGTGATTCGTCATTCCAGAGAACACGTCTCCAGTGCTCCAGAGTCCAGTGGTGGTGTGCTTTACACCCCTGCATCTGCCGCTTTGCATTGCACTTGGTGATGTAAGGCTTGCATGAAGCTGTTCAGCCATGGAAACCCATTCCAAGAAGCTCTCTACACACTGTTGGCCACATGAAGTTTGGAGGTCTTTAGATATTAACTCTGCAGACAGTTGGTGACTTCTACGCATGTCATTTTACGTGGCCTACCACTTCGTGGCTGAGTTGCTGTTGTTCCCAGTTGCTTCCACTTTGTTATAATACCACTAACAGTTGACTGTGGAATATTTAGTAGCAAGGAAATTTCATGGATGGACCCATTGCACAGGTGGCAATGCTTGAATTCACTGAGCTCCTGAGAGCAACCTATTCTTTCAGGAATGTTTGTAGAAGCAGTTTGCATGCCTAGGTGCTTGCTTTTATACACCTGTGGCCATGGAGTTGATTGGAATACCTGAACCCAATGATCTAGAGGGAAGTCTCAATACGTTTGGCAATATAGTGTATATATGCATTAAAATGGTTGAACTGGTATCCAATGATTTTCCACCAATGGCACGTGTAACTGCAAGTTAGAGACAGGAGACAGAAAATCATTTCATGCAACACTAACCTGAATATCCAGTAAATCAAAGCAGATTGCTCTGCTGATGTGCAAGGTGAAGGGTAAACCATATCAGTCAATCAACTTTCAGTTTTGTGCAGCTATCAGTTAAGAATCTCCAGGTTTAGGTAGCAATTGGCATGTAAAAGTATGGACTGTATTCTCTCATATCTCAGTGTCTGAAAGAATTAAAGTGGGTCTAAAGCTTAAACATTTTAACCGTAATGCAATCTCTGCATTAAGGTAAAAAAATGTTTAGGCAACCATACCACTCTCTCACCCCCCCCCCCCCCTTATACATCCTTAATCGATCCAGTGGTTTGCCCATGTATAGCGGCTCTCACAGGCTTTGCTGAAACAGTGGGAGCTATTGGCTTCCTCTGCTGTCAGTCAAATCCTGTGATTAAGGAGCGGAGGGGGCGGGGCCAAGCCACACTGCCTGTGTTTATAGGCGCAGGTGTGCCACAATATGAAGCGGCTGCCTATGGTGGCACACTGAGGAAAGGAGGAGCCAGGAGTGCTGATGGGGGAACTGAGAAGAAATGGGGGGGGGGTGCTCTGTGCTTATTATTTAAAATATATATATTTTTACTCTACATTGACTTTAAAGTATTTGTCCATCCAAGACACAGATAGAGTAATAGTCAATGAGAAAAACAGACAGAAACAAAAACGCTTTTCATATATAGAGAACAGGAAAGCTAGAACCCTGGTCAGAGCTTTATTTATGTGTCCCTGTTGCATATTTTCCCTTCTGTTTGGTGAAACCACTGTCAGTAAAACAGGAAGTAATCCCTTCAATAGAGCTCCGGATAATGGTAAAACCTGACAGAAATTCTAATACATCCCCACTCTATCCTTAGCTAGAACAGAAAGTTTCTGGTTTTACATACATTTTAAGATTTAGCTGTTCCCTTTCTTCTAAACACTATGGGGTTGATTTACTAAAACTGGAGAGTGAAAAATCTGGTGCAGAGTGCATGGTAGCCAATCAGCTTCTGACTTGCTTATTCAGTTAAGCTTGGACAGAAAACACCCGAAAGCTTATTGATTTCTATGCAGAGCTGCACCAGATGTTGTACTCTCCAGTTTTAGGTAATCTCCCCTATGAGCGCATAGGCAGCTTATAAATGTTCACACAGCAGTGACATGCAGTAGATAAGCAGTTACTTCCTGTTGGGGGAAAAAAGAACAACTTTGCAAGACATTAGTGAGAAGAAGCAAGAGTCTGGCTGTTGCTCAACACATAGCACAACACTCACAGCCTATTATTGGCAACTACATGTAAGTGAAATGAAACCGCTTTATTCATCTACATAATGTCCGTTTAAAAAAAAAAAAAAAAAAAAAAAAAAAAAAAGCTTGCCACTGGGAGCTGAAATTATGTCCAGTAATCAGAAGGTGCAAAAAAAGTTAGAAACAGAACAATCTGTATAGAATTGCACAGACTCAATTTTTGTTTTGTAATGATAACATATGTCTTGCACCAGACAGGTTTTAGGTTCTGAGCTACAAAATGCTCAACATTAAAAATCCAATTGTTTTCAATGGTGCCACACTTGAGTGCTCAGGAACCTGTTGCTCAAAAAATACAGGAGCTTCTTTTTCAGGCATATTTGGGCATTTGTCGCACCACAGACTTCAATTGGAGAGCCTGAAAAAAATGTGCAAACACAAGTTATACCAGGCACTCCCATAATAGAAATCTATGCAGCCAAAAACACACAATCATGTCCAGATGACACTTCTGTAAGGCACACTGCTCCAAAAATGTGCAAAAAAAAAAACGCACACAAATTTCCTACCATAATAAAAATGCTATATACCTAAAACAAAAATGTTACAAAAGATACATTACATTAAAGCAGTGTTTCTCAACCTTTTTTTTAGTCAAGGCACCCTTTAAAATGATGGACAATTTCAAGGCACCCTCTAAAAATGTGGAAAGTCTCGAGGTACCCCATTCTAAAATGTAAAAAAACTATTCTAATAGGACACACACATAGGACACCCAATGTTAGAGGTGATTTAGTCTTCCAAATCAAATATACTAGTCAGTACCAGTGTGAAAAAGTGTATCAAAGTTTTTCTCCATCACTCAGGTAATGTGACTCCAGTGCTGGTGAAGAGGGGAAGGGGAGGCAGATGATCAACGCCCTCCTTATCAACTGATGATGTGATTGGTTGTTTTTTATGCATTTTGCTAAGGCACCCCAAAAGAGACCTCAAGGCACCCCAGAGTGTCTGGGCACCCTGGTTGAAAAAGGCTGCATTAAAGAACTAAGAGTACGTATGTCAATTTTCCAAATGCTCAAAACCACATATATGCAATATGTAACCTTATTGTAAAGCTTTACAGTTTTTTGGGGGTTTTTTTTTTTTGCTTTTAACTGCCATGTCAGCTAAAAACAGCCAGGAAAAAAAAGTTGGCCATCCTCCTACAAGGCACCTGTGAAGTCAGCGGTGTTAAAAATATTGATCCCTACTCAAGCCCACTCATTCTAAGAATATTCAGTTATACCTTCCTCAAACCATTAAAATTCATCTTCAAACAGAAATCAAAATCCTACTAAATGCTGGAAAAAAAAAAAAACCTTTTTCCTTTGTTAGAGATGCGCTTCCATTTTGTAACAAGTGTTCTTTAAAAGCTGCCTTCAGACAGTAGTAGACCTACTACTTCCTGCTGAGACGACCTGTCACCCCCTGCCTGTTATCTATGCCGGTCCGATCAACATACATTTGTCAATCAGGATCAAGGCAATGCTGATGTAATCAAGCCAGTGCTGCCTGGTTTAGGCCTCATGTACATTGAATGTTTTTGATTCTGCTCCTAGGGGCATTTTTTTCTGCCTCTAAACACCCCTGAATGTTAGCCTATGTGTCCATACACACACAGGCAATTAGAAGCAGAAAAAAACCCACTGCCAGAAAGTCCAGAAGCAGTAGATTCCTTCCCTTTCCCCCCATCCCCTCCTTGCCTCCAACCCCCTATTCCCCATCTTGTCATCCAACACTTTTTTTAATTTTCTTTTTAGCTCCCTTCTTCATCTTTTTCTTCCATTCTAATTTCCCAATCGTCTTTCCTGGTTTTTTTTTTTTTTTTTATCTTTTTGGCCTAGGCCTTGTTAATTTTCCCATGGGGAACAGGACCCTTAGTAGGTTTCTCCTCTTTTTTTGTATTTCTACGCTCCTTACTCTGACACACATAGGCGGTCTTATCCAGTTATAATGTTTTTTATTGGGTAAAATGTTTTTGACTGTCAATATCCAGGCTTTGGGGTTTGTTACAGACCATACAGATTATACAAGTGAAAGCAAACACCTGAAAGACAGCATGTGTAATGTACTTTGTGCATTCAGGGTTGGAGGTGCCATGCTGTCTGGGGTGGGCTTCCTAGCTTGTCTGGATGCCTGGCTGTGGATTAGCTTACAGTTAATTAGATCACTGTTAGCCGTTAGTTGTACGGTTTACTGTTTGCACTGTTTAGGATAATGTGATCAAGCTCTTACCTAATCAGTGTGGGATGTTTATCTCAATGTGTAATATTTGTTTTTTGTTCATGTGGGGACTGCCCTTATTTTTGAAGTGTATAAAAAACTGTATTTCTGTTCAATAAAGTAGTTCCAGTCTTGCACCTAAGCTTGTGTCACATAGTCTTGGGTGTGATGCCCAGCTATAATAACTTGGTCCAGTTCTCTGACGGAATCATCCAGTCGGGGTCCGTCACAGGGTTCTATACATTTTTAAAATTTTGGGTTTGCGGTATTGTTCTGGAATAACTCCTTAGTAGTGATTTTGTTTGACTTTTGTATGCTATGCCATTATGCTGACAGTATCCGTTTTCCCTATCTGTATGAATTATTAAAATTCTCTTTAACCTCCCTAGCAGTCTGATTATGTCAGTATTTCTATGCTCAAAGCGGTACTATTTTTTTGCATGGAAATATGTAGTTTTTTTATTGTAGGCCTGTAATTTTTAGGAATAACTCACTGAAATCTGTCCGAACAAGAGTCTAGTAAGCATCCCGGGTATGTTAAAATTTGAAACACGAATCATAAATTATAATTTAATAAATAATCATAAAAAATAATAATATAATAGTAATACATTTAATTCAATAATATAATCAAACCAAAAACACTGAAATTTGAAATAGAGCGCCAAGTTCGCACATCACTGAGCAAAGTCGCAAAATCGTTTTCAGTGTCTGATGATGAATTTCCCCACGAATCATTATCACTCAATTCTGCAAGTGGTTCTAATTTACTATCGCTGTTCTCTAGCTTATCCAAAACTGTTTTTGACCTAAAGGGACGCTTTTTGGACACCATGGACTTTTCTCAGTTTCAAGGCAGAAAGAACAGTAAAACTGCAGGCAGGGCACAGGACAAAGCACTAGGGACAAAATGTATGTGAAATGGTTTGATACAGTAATGGTTTAATATGTGATTTTAGTGAATTTAGTGAATGTCACTTTTTTTAAATTTCCTGCCAGTTCCGTCCACGTACGTCCTGACGTCGCAGGGAACGGAACCCGGAAGACGGATGCCGTAATCGGCCGGAGGACTTTTAGGGGACACTGCAGGGGGGACATTGCGGTAGCGCAGGACAAGGTAGGTGATCGAGGGATCCCGGAGCAACGCTGCAGTGTATTCCCAAGTGTAGCTCGGGGTTACCGCTTGTGATGCTGAAACTTTACCCCGAGCTACACTCGGGAATACCATCTAGGGAGGTTAATAAAGCTATTATTGAAAAAAAAAAAAAAAAAAAAAAGCACAACAAAAAAAGTCCATTGTGCATGAGGCCTTAACTGCAGTTTCTCCCACACTTGACTCTGCACAACACCCTAAGGGAGCTGAATGTGATGCAGAGCTTCTTTGTAGATGCTTTCTACCGATGGCAGCACTGAAAGAATCTTCAGCTGGAGACTGATGACTGCCCTTTCACAAATTAAGTCATAGGAGGCACATCAAAACTCTGAGCTTTAAAAAAAAACAACTTTTCATAAATCAGTTTATAAAAATAACTATTTATGTTTAACGACCCTTTAACGCTTTTACACCGAAGCAGTTAAGTAGGGCTAGTGAATCATTATGAAATGAAGTGGTAATATCTCATTATTTTGGAGCAGCTTGCAGTACAGAAGCTGCCTCCAGGAAGTACAGAGAAAAAGAAAGTAAACACTGGCGGCATTAGCAATTCATAGCACTCCTCAATGTGAAAAGATACGCACTGAAAAAATAGACAAAGCCACATTTACCTTTACAGGGAATTTTAGTTGATTAAAAATCTCAGACACAAGAAGATTGTGTGAAAGAGTTTTCCTCATCTTCATAATGCGTACAATAGCTGCATCGATCTGGTACTGTCTGTCCTGGAAAACCCTCTCTGTCGTATTAACCTGTTCTTCCACCTAGGAAACAAATACCTCCTCATGTTACATTCACTGTTACATAAATGTATTCTATTAATATTTCTTACTCTAAATGAGCCAAAATACACACAAAGAAGTGATAGCACACAATAATGCTCACCGTTTCCTTCATTTGGATCTGGTTAATTTTAATCCGATATAACTTGTGCTTAAAGTCTGTTTTAAAGATAAACTTGTCTCCATTCTCAATATCTTTACCCTTTGGTAATTTATTTAGTACCCTGGCTTTCCCACATGCCAGTGACTGCAGAGTTCTTCTGAGCTCACTATCCTCTGTAAAGAGAATACAATGAAAATATTAAATGACTGAAAATCTATGATTTTTTTTTTTTTGTTAAACAACAAACATGGTATACTTACTAGAGCACAGAGCAGCCCCTATCTTCCTCTTCTTTTGTTTTCTTGCCAGTGCTCCTGGCTCCTCCCCTATGCGGAGTGCCCCCCATAGCAAGCCACCTGCTATGGGCACTTGTTCATGTTCACTTCCAAGCCACACTCTGTGTGTCAATTGACACACAGAACTCAGCTCAGCCCACCCACTGCTTCTCCTCATTGGCTGTGATTGACAGCAACAACAGCCAATGGCTTCCGCTACTGTCTCTGAGCCAATGAAGACAGAGAGAGTTGAGAGGGCTGTTGCTCTCGTGCACATCGCTGGATCGAGGTCAGGCTCAGGCAAATATAAAGGTGAGGCTGGGGGAAAGCAGACCACAGAAGGTATTTTTACCTTAATGCATTAGGTAAAAAAAAACTTCTAGTTTTACAACCACTTTAATCTTTGTTAAACTTTATGTTCCACGTCTCAACTCTTTGGTGTTTTATTTAATACCCAAGCTTTGTCACCTGTCAGTGAATGCAGAGTCCATCTTGGTTTGCCCTCGTCTGTATGAAGCGCACAATTAAAATATTAGCAGGCCATTTCCACTTAGTATTTTCCAAAAAAGCCACAAATTGAACTTTCTTGCATTCTCATCTATAATTTATGATCAGCATGCTACAATCTATCTATTCCACAAACATTTGGCCATATAGTTTATATTGCACCTTTAAGGAGGATAGAGCTTCCATGTGGGCCTGGTCTCTGTGCATTGCTTTACACATATGTCATATAGTTGGGAAACTCAGATAGTTTAGCATTAGGCATCGAACTTATCAGAGGTCCGTTGACACCACAGGGTGGCTTCAATATATAGTAACATATGTATGCAACTGAGACCTCTTGCACACTGCTGCCTAAAAATTCAGCATTTCTAGGCATACAGGCAATTTCTTTTTCTTTATTGATCAAAATGCAGCCCCTTGTTTCTAACGTGCCTGTACACACGTGTGTAAACATGCGCTGCATACTGAGGAGTCAGAAAAAAAAAAAAAAAAAAAAAAAAACCACATACAGTAATCTGTTGCTGCTTAGGTCTTTTTTACACAGGTTTGCATTTATGCACCCAATTACAGTACGTGCAAATATATGTGTACATGTGTTAACTTGTTAATTTGAAGAGGTCAGAATTGCATTCTGGGAGGTAGAATTAAATTTACTTGTGTACACATACAAGCAAAATAAATGCAAGAAATGCTGGCCAGGAATACTGATGTTCAAACAACAGTACCATCTGCACATACAGTAAATAGTTTACTTTTTTTTTTATTTGAAGTGATTCTAAAGGCTTATTTTTTTTTTTTTATTTTTTTTAATAACAAACATGTCCATAATTACCTATTGTGTTAGTGGTTTTGCACAGAGCAGTCTGGATCCTCTTCTTTTCAGTTCCTCCGTAGGCTCCCCTGGCCCTTCCCTCCTGTCGGGTGCCCCCACAGCAAGCAACTTGCTATGGGGGGCACCTGCTGCTCCGTGTGTCCATTCACACACAACTCGGCCCTGCCCCCCCTCTCTTCTCACTGGCTGTGATTGACAGCAGTGGGAGCCAATGGCTCCCGATTCTGTCTCAGCTATTGATAAGAGAGAGTCCCGGGATAGCGGAGACTTCAGTGCACATCGCTGGATCAAAAGAGGGCTTAGGGGAGTATTAGGGGGGCTGGGGGTGATGCTGCACACAGAAGGTTTTTTTTTACCTTCAAGCATGGAGAATGCATGAAGGTAGAAAACCTTGAGCCCTTACAACCACTTTAAGCTGAGCAGTATAACAGGTTAGTTAGTTTTTTTTTTTTTTTTGCTGACTAACTTGTATGTGTTAGGGACCCCTTTCAACATTTATTTTCTTTTTTTGGAACTTCATAATAAAAAGTATTTTTGTTAGTATTTTTAGGAGAAATAATGTGACTGCATTGCTAATATGGCCATGTTCTTAAAAAGATAAAGTAATCTCACCTATTCCTGTAGCCATTTTAATTTCTTCAAAACTGAATTCATCTCCCTCATTGAACATAAGCAGCACCAGTGTTTGAAACAAAGACACCTGGAGTTCTTTCTTTTCCTATAGAAAACACATAAAAAAGACATTAGAAAACACAAATTAAATATCGGATTGGAATGTTTACAACCACAATCTGTCTCTTCTAACAATATATGGCCCTAAAAAGCCAGGATCACATAACAGATGTTTATTTCAGAGGGATGTTCTGCTTTACCAACAGCCTTAAATTGTTACTAAACCCAGGACCCTGCATTAACTATATCTGGTCTCCCACAGTACACAGAACATGGAAATGCAATTATTTTAGTAAATATAAACTGTTAAATACATTTTCTCATCAGCAGTTACAGCAGTCTTGTGACTTCTATCAGGATCTGACCAAGCACTGGTTAAAGCTTGTAGAAAGTTTTCATTCTCCTCTGACTGTCCTATGAGGCTGCATGACCCCCTGGCCGGACAGTGCTGATTGGCTCTGTGCTGATCACATGCACCCCCCACCAAACTGAGCATGTGCATAGTGCCTCCTAGGCCTCTACACTATCAGCAGATGCATTGGGGATAGTAAAAGGAAGAGAAGATCATAGAAGACAGGATCAAACAGCCTTTTTACACAGTGCAGAGGATTAACCCCTTAGGTTCCATAGTGAGTATAACAAGCATGCTTTACTGCATAAATAGACTGATTTTACTGTTGTGGGTTTAGTAACACTTTAATCAAATTTCCCTCTAAACTACTCAACAGTAAAAGCGCATCTAAGGTTTCCACAATGAATTTCAATTATTTCATGTCAACCTTTATTAATCTGAATGATCTTGAGGCATGTAAAACATACTTTGTGAAGAATCCCACACAGTTACTCCCTTGAATTTTGTGACACATAATCACTATGCCCTGTGAGTAGGTGCTGCTGTGTCACACAGAACAGGGATCCTAGTGTGCAGGCAGCAAGGTACCATGGGACATGTAGTCTTTAGAAATGGAAAGTAAACTCAAGGAATGGGCAAAGCAGAAGTTGTGAAGCATGCAGGGAGTCCAGGAAGTTGTGGAAAGAGATGGTCAGCAGATAGGCAGAACTTACAGCATAAAAGGAGATTTTTCAGGTAAGCTTATAGCGGATTGTCAAAAATAACTATTTGTATTACTAATACAATGCTGATGTTATTAAGTGAAAGTGTAAGGTATGGCTAAAATTCTCTTTTAAAATAGAAAGGTGCATATCACTGTAGGATTTGGATTTTTACATTATCACTCATGCAATGGACCTCTGCTTTGTAATGCAGTTTATATAATCTAATAACCTGATGCAGTTAACATATGAAGTCTAGTTAAAATATTCTTTCACATAATACCAGATAGTTTGTTAATTTTCTATGACAGTTAAAAATGTGCTATTTCATTTTGTCTAATATTGGACTGTAGGTTAGACCTATAAATGATGCAGTTTAAAAAAATTTGCAATAGAAAAGAAAAAAAATCAGGAAGGGTCCAAACATTTTGTCACATCATAAATTACACTGTGCATGCTTTTATTCTTTGGAAACACAATGCAAATTAGAATTCCCACACAGGGATTCTGTTACAACTATTCATACTTTTAGTCCTCATAGCAGAAACAGTTTTCAAAAAACCCAGTCCACAGTGCATGCTAACTTTTGGAAAGTGACTTTATTTGCAGTGAAGCTAAATGGGTTGAGCTTCACTGTCTTAGAACTAGTTTAACACTCGGAAGTCTAACAATATCTGCTGTCATTGGAGGAGTAAAACTTCTTTTCAAAAAGGAGAAAAGCAAATAAGAAAAATTCAATTTGAAGATGACTCATGCTATATGTTGTAAGGCTCCTTCCAAGTCAGTTGTGTGCTAAAGAAAATCAGAACATATCTTGGCCAATGCATAAGAAGAAAGAGAAATTTGAAAACATGAGTTTTTATAGTGTGTACATATGGAAAGAAATGGATTTTTAAAGTGTACTGAAAAGCATATTTTCACATTTCACACTTTGTGATGTATAGATTTGATATATACAAGTGACTGTATTCTTACAATTTAGTCTATTGATGGCACATATACAAACAAGCACAATTTTCTAAACTGATGGCATATGGTTTAAGCTAACTGCAATGACTATACCAGCTGACACGTGCAAGAAAGGGAAAATTCCTATGCTTCATGTAGCAGGCAAAGCAGGACCAAAGGTTATTACAGAGGAAAAAAAACAATTATCACAGCACACTGGTGTGAAAGAATAACCTCTATATTTATCTGCAAATTGTAAGTTACAAAGTTCCCAAATTATCCAGCTGGCACAAATTTCTGCTTAATTACCATTACATGAATAAAAATGTTTGGCAATAGATGTTTAAAGTCAGAATGATTCAATTTCTTGTGAAGGTCAGCAGATTCAGATTTGTGACACACCAGAATATTTTAAGAGAAACATTTAAACTGTAGGTGGACAACAGCGGCCTGACAAACAGCAATGTCTGTACATTAGACACTGTTAAAAAGCTTTTTAGTTAAAGTGGTTCTAAAGGCAAGAGATGTTTCACCTTAATGCATTCCCTGCATTAGGGTAAAAAAAACCTTCAGTAGCAGCTCTCCCCAGCCCTCTCAAACACTTACCCGAGTCTTCTCTCGATCCAGCACTGTGCCCCTCTGCAGCAGCTCTTCTTCCCTCTTCCTGTATTTACAGGAGGCTCTGATGACAACCGGAGACATTGGCTCCCGCTGCTTTCAATCAAATCCTATGACGACAGAGTGGAGGGACGGGGCCAAGTCATGCAGTGTGTGTCTATGGACTCATACAACATGGCTCGGGAGCACGACTGCCCCCACAGCAGCTGACTTGCTATGGGGGCACTTGGAGAAGAGGAGGAGTGGAAAGCGAAAACCATTGCACAGAGCAGGTAAGTATAACCTCTTTTTTATTTTAGGAAAAAAAATAAGGTTTACAACTGCTTTAAAGAGAAGTGCAGGGTTAAAAAAAAACAAAACAAACATTCATATTCACCTATGTGGATTCAGCATCGATCTGATGCTGCAACTGTCCCCTGCCAGCTCGAACACTGAGAACTTAGCGATCACATGCTGTGCTGTGAAGAGGGTGGGAGCGGCTGGCTCAGGCTCACAGTGGCACACTGAGAAGCTGAACCAGATGCCAGTAAAGCATCTTGGAGGATCCGGACAGCATTTGTTGGGATCCTTGTGTTACCTGGACCTGCTTTGTGATGTCACCCAACAGCAGGCTTTAGCACACTGTCAGCTGAATCTGGATCCCAGGAGTGCAGAATGAAGTGCACTCCTGAAACCCTCACAAGAAGTATGACCATAAGAGCTTTGGCCATACCACTGTCAGTAACCGACTCTCTGCACTGCCCCTCCAACGCTCAACAAAGTGCTGGGTTGTGAGTGGCTGGCTCATGCTGTCAACAGCATGCTGAGGCTGAGCCAGCTGCCCATCCAAGCATCTGGGTGGATCCTGAAGATGGGATCTTTCCAGAGACTGGACTAGCTGAGTGATGTCAGCGGGCTTTAGCCCACTGTAGGCTGAAAATGGGTCACAGGAGTGCAGAATGAAGTGCACCCTTTTGTATTTCAATGTTTTTATTAATTAATAACAATTAACACAGGAGCAACAAATCACGCCAACGCAGGGGCTATTAATTGCACATAAAAGAAGTAGAAAATTAAAGAAATCAGTGCTCTAACATCAACAGGGCAAAAGATCGCCCACGCAGGGGCTCTCAATGGCACTTAAATAACAAAACATAAATATAACACTGATAATAACTCAGACTAAAGGCAGCTATCCACTGCCACACCAAAAGCAGAAGTGCACCCTTTTGATCCATAGGAGAAGTATAGCCAAACTATCTTTGGCCATACTTCTCCTTTAATAAATAAACAAACCTACATACTCACCTCCATGCTGCAGCATTGGTGTGATGCTGCAACTGCCCCACACAGGCTCTAAGATAGAGAATGGAGCAATCAGATGGCTGCTGATCACTCAGCTCTCAGTCTTCTCAGAGAGCAGTGACTGTCAGTCACCGTTCTCCGCTCTGCCCTGCCTGTGTTTACTAGAATTCCAAACTGGAGAGGGGGCAGGCACAGTTGACTATGGCTCTCAGCTACATGCTGAGCCAATGCAGAGAAAGTTGTCAAATAGGCAGCTGCGTGGATCTCAGCAATATGGTCTGGATCCTTCCAGAGTCTGGAGTGGCTCTGTGTTGTCAGCTGTCAGCAGCTGATTCTCAGTTACAGGATGGCAAAAATAAGTGCACTTCTGTAACCCACAAATGAAATATGGCTAAAAAAGCTTTGGTCATACTTTTACAGCTCTTAAGGTATGTCGGCTTTTATTCCTAATTAACAATCCATATTCCCATCGCACACAATCCTGGAGTAAGTTCTAAAACATGCCATCACATGCCTGATGAAGGGGTCCTGCGCGGCTCCGAAACATTGCATTCTTTTGCTTGTGATGTGATCATGCTTCAATAAAAAAATTGTTTGGACTTAACTCGAGGATCATTGGTGTTCTTGCAAATATTTACACTACAACGCTTTTATTCCTAGTCACAGATATTGACATTCTATCGAAGCAAAAATAAGTAAAAAATATATATGGAGTTAAAACGAATTCAGCAAACTAAGTGTCTGTGAGCTTCAAGATGTTACACACATTTATTTTTAGCCATGACAGCTTGACAAACTTGTTTGAGCAATTCTGTATCATTAAGCTGTGGTTAAGTGGTTTGGGTAACAAGATGTAGATAGAATTAAGTATCACATGACAGGGCGTATTGTGAAAGACTTGAGAAGTTGGCAGGAACTAGGTGTCTTCAACTATTAAAAACTGCCAAATGTGCCTTAACATCATGCACCTAATTTTTTTAGCCAGCAGCTTATAATTCAAGGAAATTGCATAGGTTCCTTAGTGACAGATTGAACCTTGAGATCAGCGACAGAAGGTATAACAACTGCTAAACTGACATAAAACTGCTTGTCTTA